GTGGCTTCGATTCACCGACAATCATTTCACCGAACGATCATTTAGCCGACACCACATAGGGTTAGGGTTAAGCATTTGATTAGTTGCAGGCATATATTTTTACTAAATTTCACCTGGCGTGATGTCAGCTAAATGAGCTGTCGGTGAAGTGATTGTCGGTGAAATAATATGGACCCCCATTTGTACAAATAGATCTACAGTAATTGCGCATTAGCCAAAAATATCGTTTTGTGTTTATTAAATTTTTTCGTACTGTCTAAGACTGTTTTATTATTGTTACTGACAAATTTTTATGAGATGAGAATGAGATGAGAGATGAAAAATAAGAGGACAAATTTATTTAACCTTTTCTAATATTCAATGTAGAATGATTACATTTATTGTATTCATTATATACGTATGAGATAGTAAAGAAAATATATAAATTTGTTTATACCCGCGACGCAGCAGATTTACAACATTACCGTTATTATTATGCAAAATAATTGATGCACCAACTCCACGAACCGCCAACGGGATCTCCATGCAGATCTTACCTATCTACGTAAAAAAATTGAAATTAACTGTATACTGTATCGATATACATGTCATTGTTGACAAATATGTTCTATCTCTATATCTTAGATTATTCAATATTACGTAAATGCTCAAGCCCTTTACGTATTAACATTACCGTGTATGGGACATAATATACTTGTCTATAGTATTTTCCTTTTTTTATTTTTAGTTTAGTAATATTCCTTTGTAATATATATTGTATTAAATGTGTAGTTATTAATAGGCAAAAATGTATATAAGCAACCGTAATGACAGAGCCCATTCGAATAATAAAAAATCTTATTCCTTTAGCACTTTTGAATTACTAGTAGCCATCTGAATAAGAATTTAATAATTATTATTAGCCATAACATTACCTTTCTTTGTCTTATAGTGTAGTATCATGGAAACAATTCAAGTTCCATATCGTTCTATTCGTCATATTATAGGCAAAAAATACTCTAAAATTAACGAGATTGAAAGACGCTCAAAGGCTAAATGCACTGTCAAGGAAAATAACGTTTTTGAAGTGAGAGGAACTAATGAAGCTAGAAAGATTGCCCTTAACTTAATCAAAGATTGTGTCTGGAATAGTATTGCAGTTTATAATCACCCAGTAGAACCCATTATCGCACTTCAACCACCATTGGCCAAACTCAAAACTGTACTATTTTCAAAATATGAAGGTACCGTTGATAAGAATAATATAAACAAATCGTACTTCATTTTAGATAAAGGAAAAGAAATGAGCGAAGATGATCAACTATCTTTATTATTTGGAAATCTTAATCTTGAGTACATAATAATCCCTTTTCATCATTTACTTGTATATCAAATAATAAATAATAATAAATAATCATAATAATAATAATGCTTTTTAGGCAGGCCAAAGATATCATTGCACCTGGAAAAGATAGATTTTCAGTAGATTACATTACCAAACGGATAATAGAACAAACTATCAAGCAAGGTAGCAAGTCTCTTGACTTCAAAGTTAGAGTTAATATCGGCAAGCAACTCTTTTATCCGGCAAATCGAGAAGTTTTGGATCTTCCAGAATCGATTCCTCTCCACGAGCTCCTTAAATATGAGATCGGTTATAAAAAAGATGCTAAAACTACTTTTATGAATCATATATCCTTGGAAGTAGCAAAGATTATTGAAAATCGCCTAGTTGAATTGGAATATCAAAAAAGTTCTGAAATTATTCAGAG